GGGGGCAGCACAGGTGTATACAGGGAGGGTAACCTCTAGTCTGAGGGGTGTGTGGGGCAGCACAGGTGTATACAGGGAGGGTAACCTCTAGTCTGAGGGGTGTGGGGCAGCACAGGTGTATACAGGGAGGGTAACCTCTAGTCTGAAGGGTGTGGGGCAGCACAGGTGTATACAGGAAGGGTAACGTCTATGCAGCATCTACCTGCTGTGCTTCCATTCAGTCGTCCCCTAACCCACGTCCTGACTTCAGAGCTGCGTCCAGAACCTTCTCATTTGTCGCTCGTGGCTCAGGTGCCCTCTGCCACTGCCTCACCTGCGATCACCCACTCAGAAAGAGATTTCCCATCTGGCGCGTTGGCGTGGGAGTGAGCCCCTCCCAACACACGCCGTCTGTGACCCCAGCGGGCTGTGTCCTTTGTCCCCACAGGAGGATGCATGCACATGAAGTGTCCGCAGTCCCAGTGCCGGCTTGAGTGGTGCTGGCACTGCGGCTGCGAGTGGAACCGCACCTGCATGGGCGACCACTGGTTCGACGTGTAGCCGGGCCGGTGACTGGAGGAGCACGGCGTCCTGCCTTCGTCCACGGCGCCTGCCTTTTACACACACGCACACACACATGTGCGCACACGTGCACACCCTCACACCCCCATGTGCACAAACCCCAATGTGCACACACACCCATGTGTGCACACGTGCACACCCTCACACCCCCATGTGCACTCACATGTAGATGCACACACGCACACACCCATGTGCACACACACACGTGCACACCCTCACACACCCTTGTGCACACACATAGATACGCACACATGCACACACACCCATGTGCACACACACGCCGACGCATACACACACGTACCCACCCACACTCACGTTCTTTCTATAGCAGCATGTAGCAGCTCCTGGTCCCGGTGACCACGTCCTGCTGACGAGGTATCGTCAGGCCTCAGGATCACGTGGCTGCCGGAGCACAGATTAGAGAGAGTGCAGAGGGGGAGGCGGCTATCGCGAGAGGGTCATCTTGGACAGAAAGGCTGTGGGTGACAGAAATTACATTTCCTGCGTTGGGCTGTCAGCGATCACCATGAAGGAAAGTCGTCCCGGGGACTGCTTGCCCGGGCTCTCTGTGACACGGGCTGTGGCGCAATCTCAAACACACACTCATGGCTTTGAGAGCAGTGTTCTCATTTCAGTCTTCACACAGTCTGTTCCCAGAGAACCCCAGGCAATAGTCAAAAACATCTGTTTACCCCCAGAAGCCTATCTTTACAAATTACACTGATGACACACCAACGGCGGAGAATCGACCTTCCAGCTCGGTGAGGAGTTCTGGAAGTTCCTTTGTGGAATGTTTAAAGGGCAGGAAAGAAGTCAAAACTTAACAATCTTTCCTTCACTCCATTACTGGCGGCTTTAGAAAGAATTGTCACAAAATGCAGAGTGTGGTCCGAGGCCTCACTGTGCACGTAGTGTGCCCACGGAGGGGACGCTGTCCGGAGCTCTTTCCTATTCAGCACCAACAGACATGCAGGCCAGTAGTCAGACTCTTTCAAGAAGAGCCCTTCTGGGGCTGTCAACACGCACAGGTGCCCATGGCTCCCGGTCAGAAGGGCCCACACTGCCCCCTGGAGGCCCGCCCTGTCCCTGTGCACACCTGCCTTGTCCCCATGCACACCCGTGCTGTCCCATGCACACCCGCACTGTCCCCATGCACACACCCGCCCTGTCCCCATGCACACCCACGCTGTCAACATGCACAGGTGCCCATGGCTCCGGGTCAGAAGGGCCCACACTGCCCTCTGGAGGCCCGTCCTGTCCCCGTGCACGCCTGCCTTGTCCCCATGCACACCCGCCCTGTCCCCATGCACACCCTGTCCCCATGCACACCCACCCTGTCCCCGTGCACATCCGCCCTGTCCCCGTGCACACCCTGTCTTCATGCACACCCTGTCCCCATGCATACCCTGTCCCCATGCACACCCTGTCCCCGTGCACACACCCGCCCTGGCCCTGTGCACACCCTGTCCCTATGCACACCCACACTGTCTCTGTGCACACCCCGTGGGTTCCTCCAGGGACAGTCCTCTCTCAGGACTGTAAACACACACTCGATCCTGCCTGTTTACATGGATCGAACCCAAGTCTTGATCATATTTTAGGTTTTTGTGGTTTTTTTTTTTTTTTTTTTGAGGCATTTGTAACACATCTGAAGGGTCTACACGGACATGGCACTCCTCATTTTCCCTGATTGAGAAGGGCTGCCCTGCACGGCTCTGCCTGGCTGCCCAGAGAGGTGGCAGGCATGGCTGACACGTACTGAGGTCCCTTTTGGGTAGGGCCCTGGGTAGACACAGCGCCACGGGCCTTGCTGCGGGCACTCTCCAGGTCTTGCCTTCAGGACATCTCAGCCCACCTCATCCATTTCTCCCTGCCATGCGGGGACAATCCCGCCTGCCCCCAGCAGCGTGTCTCAGCAGCGTGGACAATCCATGTGGCTTCACCCACCAGGAAACCCCACTACAGCCACACAAGGGTCAGGCAGCATAGGGGCTGCAGGGGAATGGGGGAGACAGCAGGGTCTGTGTGGCCACTGGGCCTGGTCCCCGGACTCCACCACAGACAGAGCCCCGCCTTTTGTCACCAGCAATCCCAGACAGCCACGAGTCCTTACACTGGCCCTGGACGTGACAAATCATGCACGACCCTGGGTCACGCACACAGCACTTCTGTCACCATGGCCTTTCTGTCTGAGATGACCCTTTCGCAATAGCCGCCTCCCCCTCTACTGTGGGGGCCGGGTTCAGGAGCGGCTGGGCCATCCGGGGTGGCCTCTTGTCCCTGCCTGGTGGTGAGATTCTTCTCTTCCATCCCCTTCACAATGGACAGTGATGCTTAAAATAACTGCGAGAGAAAGGCCGCCACTGTCCGTGAGCACGAATCGCACACAATAGGAGTGTTTTCCGTGAGCGTGGAAGCTGTGCCAGACTGCGAATGCATCAGAACAGAAACAGAGTATCTGCGGTAGAATCTTTATCTGAAATGTGTGATGAGATTTCTGATGGCTGTGTCGAAGGTTGCACTCAAACTGACAATAAAAGAGCATCCAAAGAGCTTGGAGTCATCTTTGAAGATTTGTTTTCGACCTGCGTTGCCGGGGTGGGAGGCGTGTGGCCCCAGGGGCCTTGTTCTCGGCCTGGAAGAACTGCCTGGGGACAAGACGGCCATCTGTATCCCTGTTCTCAGCTCCGATCCCGCCGGGTGGGTTTCTATATTTAAAATGAGGTTATCACAATTTGAAAGCAAATCTTTGCTCAAAATACCTGACGGGTACTTTTGCCTAAAACGAGCGAACTTCTCTCATAAACGCTGGCGGGGCTTGCTGTCCTGGCGTTTGGGGACACTTTGGCGACTTCGCGTTGCTCTCAACACAGGTGCATTGATGCTGCATTTTCATGTATATTTAGCAGCCACACATTGTTACTGTCACAGCCCACATTGGAGTGATCTGGAATGGAACATTATTTTTTTTTTAATTTTTATGTTGTTGATTTGAAAGGCAGAGAGACCAGGAAAGAGGGAGAGAGCGCGCTCCTGTCTGCTGGTTTCAGTCCCCAAATGCCCACAACAACCAGGGCTGGGCCAGGCTATAGCCAGGAGCTGGGAACTCAGTCCGGGTCTCCCATGCGGGTGGCATGTGCTGCCTCCCCTGGTGCACATTTGCAGAGAGCTGGAGTCAGAGGCAGAGCCAGGACTCACACCCAGGCACCCTGATGTGGGACTCAGGGGCACCTTCCCCACCCACCGGGCCAACCCCTGCCTCTGAAATGGAATGTTCTCGGGAAGCTCCTCCACGTATGTGGAGCACGCGCCGAGGGGCCCTGGGTGCTCAACATCACGGAGAACGTGGAAGAAATCCCAAGGTTATGGGGCCGGAGTCCCTGGTATTGACAGAGCCGAGAGTGAGGTTTGTGGGTCCTGGGGCGGGGTGGGGAATGCCATCCCTACACCCACCTGTGGGCGAACTTTGCAGGGAGCAGCAGCATCGGCCTCATAGGGCTGCCCTGAGGAGTCCTTGAATCAGGGCACTCGGAATAGTGCCTAACACATAGTAAGCACTCGGCAGCTGTTCGCCGTCACTAATAAATGCACAAGTCAGCAGAAATGACAGAACAAACTAACAAAAAGCACAAAATCGACACAGCGTATTGGCAAACTCCAAATGAAAGCAGGACTGTCTGCACACTCGAAGGTCTAGCCGTATCACAGACGGGGAGCGGATGGCTCGCGCTGGGATTAAGTTGCCAGATCATCTCCCGCCTGGTCCCAGAGGTTTGCCTGGCGAGGTAAGTGGGGAGCTGTTTCCTAACCGTGCAGGTGTGGTGTGCTCAGAGGGCATCCATGGTAGAAGCTAAAGGGTTAACATGCAGAAGGACCAAGGGAAGCAGACCGTGGGTGCCACCAGCGCTCGGCATTTGGGGAGGAGGTGCAGCCCAACCCCCCCTACCCTTATGAGACCGCCCTGTTTTGGTTTGGCTTTTGAGAAAACCATACTTCATGATAACACCGAAGTTCTCCTCAGGTAGCCTGCTGTGAACCAACCGCCCAGGCACGAGTTTGCAGGAGCAAACCTGGAAAACCAGGAGCAGCCTGGATAACCACACACGAGGAAAGCAGGGGGAGTCGTCTGGGAAGGCCTGCGTGACCACAGATGGGTGGCTGTGGCCTCGCCCTCAGCAGTGTGGCCTGAGAAAATCAGCTGGGACTGGCCCCCAGGAGGCGGCCTCATGCTAGCCCGCCACGTGAGAGAACAAGGTGTGAAATCTGACAGGTAAGTACGCTGTACGTCGTCCCGACGAGAAGCCCCCTGGCTCTCCATTGCGCTGTCCATCTCCTGGCGTCCTTTCTTTACAGCTCTCTCCTCTTGACCGGCTGGGCTCTGGGCTCGGGCTCACGCATCATTCCAGCAAGTCTTCTCTGAGACTCCTGTCCGCATTTGCTTCCCAGATCATAGCACTGCACATGCAAACGTCAACCTCTATGGACTTATCTGCACCCTCGAGGGACAGCAGGGAAGACAGAGGTCCGTTCTCACCACCGGGCATCTAGAACCAGGCCAGGCACCTGCCGGGCTCTGTGACTCTGGAGTTGCGTTTTGGATTCTGAGCTCCCGTACGTGGGAATTCCAGCTGCGCGTGAAGCCTGCAAGTGCGGCTGGGACTTGGCTGCACAACCGTATCAACGTGTGTCTCCTGGCCAGATGCAGCTGTTCCCGTTAAAGGTAAGGCTGCCGCAGCTGGACACCCTTGACTCAGGGTGCCCACAGTACGTGGCTCGAGGAGCCTGGCCCTGAACCCCCTCCTTCACCCACTCAGCCCCGCAGCCACGGGCACCTCAACTGCACCCCAGGTCCTCCTGCAAACCCCCAGTGTGCGAGAAAGGCCGCCTCGCATGTGAAAATCCAGTTCTTGGGTTCTTAATTCCAAACTCAGAGAGGCGCCTCACGTGCACTCGGGAGATTCTGCTCCGTTTCACGCTTCCACTCAGTGTTTTTTCCGCTATAAAACGTTTCTTATTTTGTTCCTTTGGCTATGGACTAAGTATTATGTTACTGCGTGCTCATTACCACCCTCCCCAGAGCCAGCTATTTTGCCTCTTATCTGCACTTAGAAACGCGTGTCGGTGGATTTCTGCAGTGACAGCTTGCCAAGGCTTCCTTGCGGTCCACATCGCATGCGAAGTGAAGCGGAGCTTTTCCAGTCCCAGAGCCAATTCAGGCGTCTTTTTCTGGTGTCGACGTGCAAATGCTCACACCTGGACCCTCGTGCAACAAGCAGAATCGTGTGCAGTGTAATGCGAAGTGACAAGGAGCTGACCAGAGTTGTGTGCATGCTCTAATTGCAATTAGAGAAGAAAAAACAAATTCTACGAGCGGGGCCTGGGGGACCGCTACAGCGGGAACGCTCGTGTCCTCCCCAATCCCTGTGCGGAAGTCCTGATGCCCCAAGGTGACACAGAGTCCCTCGGGGTGAGCACTCTCACCCCTCCCACCGGCGAGGACACTGTGAGAAGTGTCCAGCTCTGGACCTGGAGTGGGCCCTCCCTGCACAAGCAATCAGCCGGCACTTTGCTCCCGGACTCCCAGAGCTGCGAGAATTAGATTTCCATTGTTTAAAGGCTACCCAGTGGATGTATCTTGTTATAACGGCCAGAATGTTCTGGGATAGGACACACCTTAAAATGCAGCTTGCTACGGTGATAAACACATATATGAACTCACGCATACCTCTCTGCGCCCTGTGTTGGGGCAGTGTGAAGATTTCGCTTTATGACGTTTGCTTCCTAATCTCCTGTGCCAGCGCAGGGTGCCCCCATCTCACGCCACTTAGTAGCCAGGATTTTCCGATCAATAGTCTGCTCTTCGGTGACTTTAGCAAAACGATCGAGGCAGGCAGTAAAGATATCCCACGGCTGCCTCCGGAGGAATTTTGGGACGAGGCCGTCTCCCTGGGCAAGAACGTGGCATTTTGTGGCATTTCGGTGTTTGCTCAGGCTGCAGTGGGGCAGCCCCCGGGGAGCAGGGCCCCCAGCAGCCCCCGGCACTAACTGCTTCCTGCTCACCCTCTCCAAGCTGCCCCTGCTGTCTCGCCAGAGCCAAACCAACCAAGAAGCCGGCATCTCCGACACCAGTGAGGACGAGTGGCAGCCCAGGCAAGCCCTCGATGCTCCGCAGGGGTGTGGGGGTCCCCAGGACCTGAAACACCGCCCTCTGTTAGCACCTGGCTGTTTTCTGGGTCACTTTCACGGAGGAGGTCCGATTTCCCAGGATCCCTGCAGATTCGCTGCCTTGAGGGATGGGAGTCCCATTTCGCTCTGGCTGGTTTTGCCTAGGTGAGCTCCTGCCGGGTCTCCAGGTTTGGCACATTCTCAATACCAGAAGGCCTTGTTCAGCTGTCGTCTGCCCAGGAAGCCTTCCCTGGTCAGCCAGAGCCAACATGCTCTGTCCCCGGCCTGCCGCTGCTTTTTCCTGGGGTGCTTGTCCCTGTCATAGGGAACAAGTCAGGGGGCAGCTCCTGCTGTGTGTGCCGGTCTGGTGGAGATCGGAGCAGTCATCAGGCAGAAGGCGCCTCCCTGCCATCGCCCACCTCCCTGGAATCTGCAGCAGCACTTGAGCCCGCAGAGCCTCGGGGAGAGGCAAGCCCTAGGCAGGTGGAGCTGCGCAGGCCGAATGCCACCAGGAAAACCACGGTTCTGACGGCCTGCGTGGTTCCTCCTAACGTGGGGTAATGGAAAAGTCACCATCAACTCACTGTCTTGCCTTTCCTGCTTGGTGCTCTGGGTACAGTATGTGATAACCAGGCTTTCCCATTCATTTTGCCTGGAGACCCAAACAGCTGTTGGGGGACATGGGTCCCACACTGGGCTTAGCAAACATAGCTGTGTCTTCTCCCCCGAATGGCACACGGGCAGCCTTCCAGCAGTTGGATCTTGCCCTCTGACTGCAGGTCTCTCTCGAGTCATGCGACAAATGAGGCCTGGTGTGGCTTCGTTTAAGCAACAGCCAAAACAGCTAACAGGAGCTCTGTGCAGTCCTGGGTGTTTGTGACAACACCAGGTGCGGTGCACAGTGGGATGCAGAGACGCTTGCGTGATCACACAGTCTTCGTGGGTTTCCTAATGGCAAGGAGCACCTTGAACTGTGCCTGTCAGTCATAGCTGTGCGTGCTCCAACATCAACGGATCATCCAGAAACCACCGAGGGTCCTGGGCCCCTCACTCATCGTGAAAGAGTTAAAAAGTAACAGAGACAAGCTCTTGGGAATCCCAGACCAACTTCCTAAGCACAGCAAGACGTTTTCTTGGATTGCTTGCTGGGAAATACTTGTTCCTGTCCCTGACTCTGACACGATCGGGGAAAAGCAGGTTATAGAAATGGCCATTAGGGAGCTGGCCTTGACCGTACAAGGGAGCCCTGCTCACCAGGAAGCAGTCTGGTGAGAGCAATATCAAATCAAAGAAGCCGGGAGCTCAAGCGGGTTAGCGAAAACTGATGCTGTCCTCCATTCCAGAGGTCAGAGAGCTTTTTGGTCAAAGACTAGATATTAAACAACGT